CCACTGAGCCCGGCTGAATTTTTTTTTTTTTTTAATTAGCCAGGTGTGGTAGCATGCACCTGTGGTTCCAGCTACTTGAAAGGCTGAGGTGGAAGGATTGTTGGAGCCCAGCAGACACTGGGGTAACCTTGAGCATGCCACTGCACTCCAGCCTGGGTGGCGGAGTGACTCCAGATAAAATAATAATAACAATAATAATGTTTAAAAAGGGAGAAGTTGGCCGTGTGCAGTGGCTCACACCTATAATCCCAATACTTTGGGAGACTGAGGCAAGAGAATTGCCTGAGCCCATGGGTTCGAGACCAGCCTGGGCAACTTGGCAAGACCTCGTCTCTGCAAAAATTCAAGAAAAATTAGCCAGGTGTGGTGGCACACACCTATAGTTCTGGTTTCTTGGAAGGCTGAGGCAGAAGGATCACCTGAGCCCAGCAGGTTGAGACTGCGGTGGCTGTGAGCATGCCCTGCACTCCAGCCTGGGCGACAGAGTGAGACTCCAATTAACAAACGGTTTTGACTTCAGCCGCAGAACTCCCAACTGTGACCCTCGGGCAGACACTTTGTGTCTGTGCACCTTGGCTTCCTCCTCTGTAGAGTGACGGGTTAACAGCGGCAGTCTACCAGGTGTGAAGTGGACATGAACAAGAGAATATTATGGAAGACACCAGGCTGGGAGCTTCTGTGGGCAGGGCCTGACTGGCTCTGTTCCTGCCACCTTGGCTTCTGTCTTCCGGCTTGGACTGAAGAGCCCTGTGGCTTTGGCTACTGTCTCCCTACAGGTGCCCGAGTGGAGGAGTTCCTGTATGAGAAGCTGGACAGGAAGGTCCCCTCGCGGGTCACCAACGGGGAGCTGCTGGCTCAGTACATGTCGGAGGCGGCCAGTGAGCTGGGACCCACTACTCCCTACGGTAAGCCGGCCTCACAGCCGGGAATTGGGGTCACAGTCTCGTGCTTTGATGTTCCCTCCCTTCCTTCAATTAAAAAATATATATATATATGCAAATAGCACCTGAATTCATGCTAAATGTAAAAACCTCAATCAGTACAGAAAAAAACAGCAAAAACTGCAACCCTCCTTTAACCAGCTTTGGTATATGTGTATTTCTTTTTTTTTTTTTTTTTTTGAGTTGGAGTTTCACTCTGTCGCCCAGACTGGAGTGCAGTGGCCTCTCCCAGCTACTGCAGCCTCGACCTACTGGCTCCGGCGATCCTTCCGCCTCAGCCTTCCAAGTAGCTGGAATTACAGGCGCGCGCTACCACTCCCGGCTCATTTTGCTTTACTGTAGAGAAGAGGTCTCGCCAAGTTGCCCAGCGGGTCTCAAACCCGCGGGCTCAGGCAAATCCACTCACCTCAGCCTCTTTTTTTTTTTTTTTTGAGTCTCACCCAGGCTGGAGTGCAGTGGCATGCTACTTACGGGCACCACAGCCTCGACCTGCTGAGCTCAGGCGATCCTTCTGCCTCAGCCTTCCAAGCAGCTGGAACTACAGGCGTGCGCCACCACATCTGGCTTATGTTTGATTTATTGTAGAGACGAGGTCTCATCAAGTTGCCCAGGCTGGTCTGAAACCCCTGGGCTCAGGCAGTTCTCTTGCCTCGGCCTCCCAAAGTGCTGAGATTATAGGCTTGAGCCACTGCACCTGGCCTAATTTTTTTTTTAATTTTTTTTTTTTGAGTTACACTCTATTGCCCAGGCTGGAGGGCAGCAGCATGCTCACGGCCACCCCAGTGTTGACCTGCTGGGCTCTGGTGATCCTTATGCCTCAGCCTTTCAAGTACCTGAACTATAGGTGTGCGTTATTACGCCTGGCTAATTTTTTGATTTATTGTAGAGATGAAGTCTCGCCAAGTTGCCCAGGCTGGTCTGGGACCCCTGGTAATTCTCTCGCCTCAGCCCCCCAAAGTGCTGGAATTACAGGCTTGAGCCACTGCGCCTGGCCTAATTTTTTAGATTTTGTGTCAGAATCTCACTCTGTCGCCCAGGCAGGAATGCAATGGCACATTCACGGCCCCCCCGGACCTGCTAGGCTCAGGCGATCCTTCCACCTCAGCTTCCAAGTAGGTGCAACTATGGGTGCACGCCACCACACCCAGCTAGTTTTTGTGATTTATTGTAGAGATGAGATCTTGCCAAGTCACCCAGGCAGGTCTTGAGCCCCCGGGCTCAGGTAGTCCTCTCGCATCAGCCTCCCAAGGTGTTAGGATGACAGGCTTGAGCCACCACGCCCGGCCTGTGTATATTTCTTAATGGGTTCATACTGTGTGTGCTATTCTGCAGTCTGACTTCTTGACTTGGCGTTGCATTACAGAGAGCTTCTTACTATAGCACTTAGAGTCACCTCAAGCTTTTTTAAAAAAGTAATTGAAGTATAATTTATGTGCCATAAAATGCACTTATTTTAAGTGTATAATATAAAGACTTTTAGTAAACTTACAGTTGTTCAAACATCTCTACAATCCAATTTAAGAAACATTTCCAGCTGGGTGTAGCGGGTCACGCCTATATTCCCAGCACATTGGGAGGAAGAGATGGGAGGATCACTTGGAGCCCAGGAGTTCGAGACCAGCCTGGACAACATAGCAAGACCTCGCCTCTACAAAAAAATTTTAAAAATTAGCTGGCTGTGGTGGCCCGTGCCTGTAGTCCCAGCTACTAGGAAGGCTGAGGCAGAAGGATTGCCTGAGTCCAGGAGATTGAGACTGCAATGAGCCATGACCTTGCCATTGCACTACAGCCTGGGTGACAGAGTGAGGCCCTGACTCACTCACTCACTAACGAACTAAGTAAGTAAATAAATAAAATAAAGAATATCTCCATTACCCCCCAAAGTGCCTTGCGTCTGTTTACTGCCAAGCCTCGTGCCCATCTCCAGCCAACCATGAATGTGCTTTTTGTCTCTATAATTTTCTTTCTTTTTGAGTCGGAGTTTGTTTTGAGGATCATTCTTGCTGTAGTGTGTTTTAGGACATCACAGCTTTTTCTACTGAAAGGTATTCTCTTGAATGTGTGTACCAAAAAAATAAAAATTCTTGTTTGCTAACTCTAACATCTGTGCCTCTTTGGAGACACTGTCGATTTTTTTTCCCCTGTGTATGGACACTTTGCTGTTTCTTTGTTTGCTTCATAAATTGTGCTTCATAAATTTTTGTTGCGATCTGAATATGTTAGGTAATAGAGCAGTTCTAAATTCTGATCCCTCTGGGGATTGTTATTGGTGTTTGTTTGGGATTTGAAAGCCTGTGTTCTCCATAGTATGCAGCTACTGATGCATCTGTACCAGCCCGATATCCACCCCCAACTTTAAAAAAATTTTTTTTTTTTTTGAGTTGGAGTTTCACTGTTGCCCACACTGGAGTGCAGTGGCTGCTCCCGGCCACCGCATCCTCGACCTGCTGGGCTCCAGCGATCCTTCCGCCTCCGACTTCCCGTTAGCTGGAACTACAGGCGCGTGCTACCACACCCGGCTAATTTTTTTATTTTTTTTGATTTGTGGTAGAGATGAGGTCTCGCCTGCCCAGGCGGGTCTCGAACCCGCGGACTCAGGCAATCC